CCTTTTCAGGATGGTTTCCATGCAACATTTTCTAAACCACACTTTGCCTTTCCTCTGTCTGAATGGAAAGCTTAAAAACAGACCCCCTTGGTGGACGTGGGGAGATATTTGTTACCTGGAGACAGAGAGCACAAAGAGCTCTAAATATTATTGGGGTATGTGCTAGCAGTAATAAATAATAAATAATAAAAATAAAAATAAAAATAAAAATAAAAATAAAAATAATAATTTATTATTTATTATTTATACCCCACCCATCTGGCTGGGTTTCCCCAGCCACTCTGGGCGGCTTCCAACAGAATACTAAAATACAATAGTCTATTAAATGTTAAAAAGTTAAAAAGTAATAAGATGTCATAATATACTGATTGTCTTCTTCTAGTTTTCTGCTTCCACCTCTTACTTCCATGAGAGCAACCAAAATTATCTTCTGCCTAGCACTTCTGATTTAATTTATCTATACAAATTCCAGGCTAGAAAAGTTCCATTGTTTTAGTGCAGAGGTCAAAGATTTTCTCATTTGCTAAAGTACTGCAAAGTCAAAGAATAAATTTGGGGGCCTTCATAATATGCAGCAGGGGATGCATATACAGTGGTAGCTTGGTTTAAGAACAGCTTAGTTTATGAACAACTTGGATGAAGAACGCTGCAAACCCGGAAGTAGGTGTTTTGGTTTGTGAACTTTGCCTTGGAAGCAGAACACGTTTCACTTCCTGCTGAGTGTGTTCCATTTGTAAATTGAGTCCCCCACCCATTGCTATGGGAAAACACGCCTTGGTTTAAGAACGCTTTGGTTTAAGAATGGACTTCCGGAACGGATTAAGTTCGTAAACCAAGGTACCACTGTATCCTTTTATGCATAATAAATATCCATGCTTCTTTAAAGCTAGCAGCATTTTGTGGCTTAGAAGGAACATCTTACATTTAGATATTTCAATTTCTGCCAAATAACGAGCCATGTGCAAGATGATGCTACATGGCATGTGTGTGAGTGACAGTCTGGGAAGTCTAGACATTTTTTTTCCTTTAATGAAAAGCAGCCAAATGAAATGTGTGAGCAGGGCAATAACAGGGGGTGATGCTGCTTCACACTTTCCTTTTCTGCTGTCTTTTCCCTACCCAAAACATCTCTCCCGCCTTAGCTAATTTTAGAACTATAAGAGATATAGACCTCTATCCCTCCGCCCCCGCCCCCAAATGATGGAAATTAAGCTTGGGTTGATTTTGAGTTCTGCAAATGGTTGCAGAGATGTGGTTACTCTTCCTCAAACTCACAGCCTCCTGTAAGTACAGTCGTACCTCCGTTTATGTAACCCTCTGGTTACGTAAACTTCGGGGGGGGGGTGTGACCAAGTCCATAAGTATTTTACTGGGTTTCACCCCGCACGCATACGCAGAAGCAGTCCTCAGGTTGTGGAAACCTTGGGATATGACTGGACCTCTGGAACGGATCCTGTCCACAACCGGAGGTACGAATGCACTTTTCTTTTCTTTTTTCTTAAGGGGAAGACTACTTTAAATATCTGCCATATGGAATCTACCAGGTGACATTAAATGTTTCAATAGAACTGAAACTAGAGAGTAAAGGTAAAGGTAAAGGGACCCCTGACCATTAGGTCCAGTCGTGGCCGACTCTGGGGTTGCGATGCTCATCTCGCGTTATTGGCCGAGGGAGCCGGCGTACAGCTTCCAGGTCATGTGGCCAGCATGACTAAGCCGCTTCTGGCAAACCAGAGCAGCGCACGGAAATGCCGTTTACCTTTCCGCCGCAGCAGTACCTATTTATCTACTTGCACTGGTGTGCTTTCGAACTGCTAGGTTGGCAGGAGCAGGGACCGAGCAACGGGAGCTCACCCCGTCGCAGGGATTCGAACCGCTGACCTTCTGATCAGCAAGTCCTAGGCTCTGTGGTTTAACCCACAGTGCCACCCGCGTCCTGAAACTAGAGAGTAGGTTCTGTTTAATCAGGTTGGAAGGTATTTTCCCCCAACTCATCTCTTTAAAAAAGAAGTTCCAAGGCATCCATATTTTTTTTTTAAAAAAAACTGGATTCAAACTGCAAAAAGGTGCAGAAAGGGCAAAAACAGCCCCCAAAAGAACAATGAAACTGCAAAAACGGCACAAAAAGAGAGGGGTAACGGTTAGCAATCCCAGGAGCCTTTGCAGCTTGTGGAGAGTTGGAGTTTGAGAAAGGAGGTTTGGAGGGAGCAATTATGGTGGAATTTGGTGGACTTTGGCGGAGAGGGTGTTTAGAAGCTTTTTAGATTGTTCTCCCACCATTTCATGTGCAGTGGTACCTTGGTTCTCGAACAGCTTAGTTGACGAACAAATCGGCTCCCAAACGCCGAAACCCGGAATTGTTCCGGTTTGCGAATGTTTTTCAGAAGCCAAACATCTGACATGGCTTCTGCTTGAGTGCAGGAAACTCCTGCTGCCAATCGGAAGCCGCGCCTTGCTTTTCGGACAGCTTCAGGAGTTGAACGGACTTCCGGAACAGATTAAGTTCGAGAACCAAGGTTCCACCATACAGTCATGATACCCAGAAACGTAACCCCTGTGGGAAAATGCCTATATACTTTAACAATGCCCATTTCAGTCTATTCCTTTCCAGTTAAATAAAATTCACAGCCTAAGTTTGCACCATTTTGCTGCTTTGGACAGCAAAAAGAGGTGCACTTAAAAAAAGAGATAGGAGGATGATCAGTACTTTTCATACTGAACTACTTATTTTTAAAACACCATATGCAGGGAGATTACTGCATCAAAATATCTGAGAAAGCAGGGGAATCAGGTCAAAATATAACCTAATATTTCATAATTAGACACAGCACCTTTTTACAATTGAGACATTCATAAAAATAAATGGACTGCTTTTACTTTGGAAAAAAGGAGAACAATAATATACAGTTATGTTGGCTACAGTAAAACTTTAACTCACTACAACTAAAAAGAAGGGTCCTTTGTGCACTGAAAAGGGAAAACTAGATTAATTTCTGTTCTAGCAGAGAGGAAAACCTAATAACCCAAACCTGGGCAGAAAGTCAAGAACGACATTAAAATAAAGATACAGAAAACATACACTCCTTGGGATCCTGATGACATCCATACTTCTTAGGAGCGCGAAGGCATACCTCAAAGCCTTTAATGATCCAAATATGGAACAATAGCACTTAAAACTTAATAATGTAATAAAATATGAAGCATTCTAAGAGGAAAAAATAAAAACCCTGGGACCAATTCCTGGCGCCACTGGTTACAAAGGGAACCACAAATACAGTATATTTACAGCAAGATTTCAAATCATGCTGCATGTGCCAGTAGCTTTTTTCAGGCAACTGTGATTTTGCCCCCACCTATCACAATCACTCCCTATCAGAATTATGTGGAATTTAACAGGAAAGCTTCCTGTTTGCAACGAAGTTGTGTTGTGCTGTATGTTCCATTTCTTTGCAAGATTGCTTTAATTACCAGTAAAGCCAGCTTTAAAGCGCAGGCAAGAGATGGGAGATCTGGCTTGGAAAGCCAGGAGGAAGAAATATTTTCACTGGAAAGACATAGTACAAATATGAAAGGGAAAATCATTCAAGGCTGAATCTACCACTGGACTTCCCAGTGTCAAAGCTCAGTTGTTGCAGACCAGGCATGTCCAAAGTCCGTTTCAGGGGACTAATCTGGCCCACAGGTCTGTTTAATCTGGCCCCTGTGGCAACAATTTCAATCCTAAAAAAAAGATCAATAACTTTGGGGTAAAATTGTAAAAAAAGAGGGGGGGAGGAGGTCAACAACTTCAATCCTAAAAAAAAGGTCAACAACGTCAGTTGGCCCTCACGCATGTTTACTTCATCAAATCTGGCCCTCTTTGAAAAAGGTTTGGGCACCCCTATTGTAGACCCTTGCAGAAAGCTTTTTTTTCAGGCAGGGTGTCCAGATTGTTCATATGAAGAAATTTGCTGAGTGATCTTTAGCGAAAAGGAAAAGAAGAAAAGGTTGAAAAATAAATGGCATAATAAACCTAAAGGAATAAAAGGAGGGAAATCTTAAAACTCTCATTTATCATTGCACTCAGGCAACCGTGATTACCATTTCCTCAACCCTCCCCTTTAATAAATCTTCACTATGTAAAGAAATTCTGAGATTGATGACAGGTGCTCTTGGTGTGAGTTGTTATAACTATCCCAACTTCCTATTTCCTGTTTCAGAGGATGGCAACTCAATTTTCATTTGCAGAAATACCTTAGTTCCCCACAAAGAAGCCTACTTGGTTGCTAAACAGGACTTAAGGGCAACATAACTGCTCTTTAAAACCAATTTTAGTTCTACGCCATCAGAGATTTTGACTTCCAGAGGTGCTGCTTCTTTTGGTGGAGGAAAGAACAGCAGCCATCTATATATGTCCCTCTCTCCACAACACACACACACACACACACACACACACACACACACTTCAGTCAGTCAGTAATTTAGGAATGGGTGGGAAGAAGAATTCAGATATCTTTTGGTTCCCTATAGTCTGGCATTACAGAACCACAAACCGGTTTGAAGTCAGCAGAAAAGTGGTTTTAGCAATGACGGCATGTTTCCTAGCAACTTTCCAGCCCACAGTGAAGAGACAAGATGCCATCAAGCGTTTTGGCACCTTTGATTTATGTACATTTGACAAAAATGCTGAAAAATTAATCATCCTGTCAATCGTAAACTAATGTGGTTTTCCTTAACCAACAGTCATGGAAAGCTTTCCCAAAAGAAAAATTAATCTAAATCTGATACTAATGGGTACTGAAAGCTAGTAATTACCACTCTACTGCTTGCATTCAAGTATCTGCCTGGGTGCTGACTGCCATGGAATGATCATATTTTGTTTCCCTTTTTTATTACAAGATTAGAAGTGGAACTTTACAGAGAAAGCAGTCCCTCAAGGCCAAAAGAGAAGAGCATGTGTGAACAGCTTCCTGTTGTTTTTTTAAAATATTTATACAAATATTTATATAACACTAATTCAGGAAAGCTCAGTTGTTTATAGAGTGTGGTGCTGGTAACGCCAAGGTTGCAGGTTCAAGCCCCGTATGGGGCAGCTGCATATTCCTGCATTGTAGGGGGTTGGACTAGATGACCCTCAGGGGCCCTTCTAACTCTATGATTCTATGATTTTAAAGGCCAAGGCAGGCTGCTTCACCTTACCTCATAGATGGCCAGGCTTAATGGCTTGATAGCTACCATCTGACAGCATCACTCAGGCCCGACATTGGCTTCTGCCTGGTGACTTCACCTGCTAACTTCAGCCTCCCAAAATCATCACTATTATTATTATTATTATTATTATTATTATTATTATTTATACCCCACCCATCTGGTTGGGTTTCCCCAGCCACTCTGGGCGGCTCCCAACTGAATATTAAAAACACGATAAAACATTTAACATTAAAAACTTCCCTAAACAGGGTTACCTTTAGATGTATCATTATTAAAATTTGAATACTGCTCTCCATTCAAAGATCACAGGGAGGTTCACAACGTGAAAAGACAGCATGAAAACACAAAATACATGAGACTCTTAATCTCAGGGTTGTGGGTTTGAGCCCCACATTGGGCAAAAGATTCCTATACTGTAAGGGGTTGCGCTAGATGACCCTCATGGTCCCTCCCAAACTATATTATCTGATTCTATGAAACCAGTATCCCCCCTCCTATGGGTTCCATCTATTCAGGAATATCTACCTTCAACACATGACATTCGTGCACATGCTAACACAATTTTGAAACCTCCCATGGACTCACACAAACATATACAGCCGACATCCAAAAAGATGACATCCATTCATGTTTGTGCCCTGGCTTCAGTCCACAAATATCCACTGGCTTCTGTTGACTCTCTTACAAAGGTGAACTTCCATCCACAAACATCAGTCTGCTTTAGCCTTGTAGCCTCCACCAACTTCTGAATCCAAAAGCCACTGGCTTCCATCCACCAACATCTGCCAGCTCCTCTTAGGTCCATCATGAGACGTCCGCCAGCTTCCAACCACAGATACCAGCAGCCTTCAGGCAACAAACTTGCCTTATTATCGCTGCCTAGCATCCCACTGCCAGAGGATTGCCTCCTTCCATTCTCCACTTTGCCTCCTCCAAGTGGAAGAAACCTGGGCAGTGCTGAATGTCACATCCATTGCCAGGTGTATCCTGCTGGAAATAGAAAAGGGCTTTCCCCTTGGCCTGCCTTTATATCCAAACAGTTGCCAAGTGCTTTTGTGACATCACAAGAAACCCACAGCCAATGGCAACAGCTGGGGAAGCATCATCTTCATTGCTTTGAGCCTCACAATGGCGGGTGGACCTATCCGTGATTGTGTGCTTGTTTGTTCGGGACACGGGTGGTGCTGTGGTCTAAACCACTGAGCCTCTTGGGCTTGTCCATCGGAAGGTCCCTGCTCCCATTGCTCTTTCTCAGCTCCTGCCAACCTAACAATTCAAAAGCATGCCAGTGCAAATGGATAAATCGGTACCACTGCGGCGGGAAGGTAAATAGCATTTCCATGCGCTCTGGTTTCCATCATGGTGTTCAGTTGCTCCAGAAGCAGTTTAGTCATTCTGGCCACATGACCTGGAAACCTGTCTGCGAACAAACGCCAGCTCCCTCAGCCTGAAAGCGAGATGAGTGCCTTTGACTGGACTTAACCATCCAGGGGTCTTTTACCTTTTTACCATATATATACATATATATATATCCTACTCTTCGTCTGTATTAATAATGGGCATGGCATAAAATTGGTGTAGAGGATTCCCCACAACTACCATAAGGTCTACATTCCCTTTTTGGGGAAAGTATAATAAAGTAGTGCCTTGGGTTAAGAACTTAATTTGTTCCGGAGGTCTGTTCTTAACCTGAAACTTAACCTGAGGTACCACTTTAGCTAATGGGGCCTCCTGCTGCCACCGCGCCACCGGAGCACGATTTCTGTTCTCATCCTGAAGCAAAGTTCTTAACCCAAGGTACTACTTCTGGGTTAGCGGAGTCTGTAACCTGAAGCGTATGTAACCTGAAACTATGTAACCCAGGGTACCACTGTAATAAGACTAACCTTAACGCTATAGCGTACAAAACAGAACACCACACCAGAACAAAGAGAGAGAAGATAAAGTAAGTGAATCCCAGGCTCCTTCTGGCCTGATTATTATAGTCAGCATGACCTTGACAGAAAGATAACAGAACAAGTTCAAACCAGCTGTACTCTGCTTATCAGAAGGAATAACCCAAACAAGAACCTTCTTCCTGTTTCTTTCACATAGAAAGAAACCTTCCAGAACCCTCTTGAATTAAGCAGAACAGGAAAGATCACACATCAGATCAGTACTTTCTGTACTAAGAAATGCAAACTGACAAAACTTAGAAGGCATAGGAGGAGGATAAGAGGAAAGGAAAGGTCAGCTGCATGGGTAACCTTCCAATTCACACAACTTTAGATCCAACTGAAAGCTGGATCTTTAAGGGTAGTTGATCTTTAAGGTCAGCTAAGACAAACATCCTATACAGAGATTCACAATTCCAAAAGAAATACAGTTGTACCTTATGTTGCATAATCTCCAGGTTATGGAATCTTTGGGTTACGGCCGCGGCAAACCCGGAAGTGCATACTTCCGGGTTTCGCCGCTCACACATGCGCAGAAGTGCTCTATCGCGCCATGTGTGTACACAGAAGTGACGCGTCTAGTTGCAGGTTTTTTTCAGGGTGCACACGGAACCCCTAAACAAATTAAATCTGTAACCAGAGCTACCACTGTATTTAATTTCTCAGAGAATTACATAGGATCATAATATGGGGGGGGGGGACCTTTGGGTACAATCCTACTCCTTTCCTTGACAATGAGACCAGGCAGCCTAGCAGATTGCTCTCTCTGGCAAATAAGAACTAAAGAAAGTCAATGTCATAGTGGACTACAGAGAAAGCTGTAACTATAAAAAAACCCAAAGACTCCAGGCAAACCTCATCTGATTCTGTTCATTCCCATGCAAAACAATCCCAGGTGGCGCTGGAAAGAAAGGAAGTCAGCAAAAATTTATCGCAACCAATCCAAAAATTTTATTTACTCAGGTGCACATCACCACATCGAGACAAGCTGAGATTCATTTCTGAAATCTGTTTTAGTTCAATCTTTCTTTAATGATATTTGATATTTTTTTATTGGGGGGGGGGAGAGAGATAGCCTCGCAAAGAAACAAGTTTTGGTGCAGATTCAAGAGCAGGATATACTCTTTCGTTGCTACCACCAAATATACCCCCACAATGTACAAACCAGCTCCATCTTCTGAAGAGTTCAAAGTTCTCCTTTTGATGTTGACAGAAACCTGTACGCGGATTAATTCTGAAAAGGGAGGCACATACGTTTCCATTGTAATTCCTATGCTAGCATTTTGTGGTAGTGGTGAAGTCCTTCCTAAATGAAAAACATATGCTATTTTTTATCATGGAATAAAGAAATGGCATTTATATCTTTTGTTGTTGCTAAATTAGGAAATAAGGGTGATTTATCACCTGTGACTCACCATTCAGTGAGTCTTAAAACTTATGTAGATGATGAAAAGAAATTTTAAAAATCATTTTACTTTTAAAAATGCCTTATTTCAAAAATCCGTGACTTGCAGTTCAACAGAAAAAAACCAAGTATTAATATCGCTGTTCCAAAACGTAGCATCCCAAGTGTGCAAAGGATTTCATATTTTGTATTTCAATATTATCCACAGGCGGTCCTAAATAAGACAACTAAGATAAGAGAGAGAAATTGGAAAACAGTTTTTTTTTTAACTTCATAAAGACTGCAAAAGTGTTGAACAACAAAGGGGCTAAATAAGTTGGAGATCCTGAAATGATGACTTATTTTTGCTGGTGCTTACAGGCAAAATTACCGTTGAGATCCTGCTGTTTAATTCCCAATGCCCTTTGTTGGCATACATTTCTTGTTCCCCTTTGCCAATTCTTCATTTTCACCAGTGACGGGGAAATGCAGTCTATACAGTTTCACACTCAACTGTCAACCCCACTATTACTTAAAAGATGGGACTTTGAGGCTGCTCAGCTGTATACCTGGGGAAAGGTGAAAATCACTTCCTTGAGTTGAGGAGGAGGAGGAGGAGGAGGAGGAGGAGGAGGAGGAGGAAGAAGAAGAAGAAGAAGAAGAAGAAGAAGAAGAAGAAGAAGAAGAAGAAGAAGAAGAAGAGGAGGAGGAGTTTGGATTTGATATCCCGCTTTATCACTACCCTAGGTAAGCTTTGAAACCCTTATAGGTTGCTTCATTTATCATTTTAAGGTGCTGATGTGCCACACAGCGTGTTCTCCTCCATGGAGAGCACATGTTGCGGTGGGGGCTAACAAGACCCCCCACTGTTGCTGGGCGGGAAAAGAGTGCGGCCACCATTTTAATTGAGTTCTTCTTGTTGCTGGGGAGTTTTAGATGTTGCCATTTTGTGACTGACAGCCTTTATATGCCCTGCGCGCAGCTTTGAGCTTCCTCTTTTCGCTGGAATTGGTTGGTGGAGGGGTATGGATTGGCTGGGCCTGCCCCTCCAAATGCTGCTGCTGCAAGAGTATTCCGTTAAAGGAATCCAGGGGCTCGCCATGCTTTGGTCCGAGCCCCTGGCAAGGGGCTAGGGCCACACAAGACCCCATGGGAGCATTTGGGGAGAGGTGAGGGCATGGTACCCAGCTCCATCTCTCACCCCAAAATGTTTTCCCTTTCTGACTTCGCGGGCATGCAAATGTAAGTCTGCTCCCATGCGGGGTCAAATAGTCACAACCAATGCCTAAGCAACCACTCACATTTCTGTAATTTAATAAAGTTGTGGCCAAAATTATGCCAAAAACCTTAAACAAAATTCATGTGTCAATTGTGTTTTATTTGGGGGGTGGCTTGGTGACCTCGACACGCAACTTGAATCACAAGACTAGTGCTGCTTAATACTGGGAGACAGAACCACTTGACATCCGCCTAACATGGTGTGTGGAACCAACATTAAATTAAAACTATAAACACGTTAAAAATGCCAAATAATTTATGACGTGTGTTGCCAAGTTTTCCCTTATG